CCCCGGGGTGGGGGGAGGCCCCTCCCCTCCCTCCCTCCCTCCCGCTTACTCTGCAGCGTGGCCAGGGTCTCCTCGTGGCTGTTCAGGATGAGGGCCTGGGGGGCGCTGGGGAGGGGCTCGGAGGCCGTCCTCCCCTCGGAGCTATGCAGCCTCTGCGTGTGGAACTTGAGGTGGCCCTTCCGGTTGAACCTGCAGGCCGGGGGGGGGGGGGGGGGGGGGAGCTGCCCTCACCCAGCTGCCAGGGCCGGACCCCGCCCCCCCCCCAGGAAGACGCCCCCTTCCCTCCCCCCAGGCTGACCTCTGGCCGCAGATGGGGCAGGCGAAGGGCTTCTCGTTGGTGTGGGTCAGCGTGTGCCTGCGGAGGTCTTTCTTGTTCTTGGAGGCAAAGCTGCAGTGCTGGCACTTGGGGGGCCGGGGGCGGGCGTGCGGCCCCAGGTGGCTCTGGGGGGGGGGGGGAAGATGGGGGGCGGGGGCTGAGTGGGACTCCTCCCGGAGGAAGACCCCTCCCACCGCCGCCCCAGAGCCGCCCTCTCCGCCCCCCCCCCCCCCCGGAGCACCTACCCGGACCTCTGGCCAGGCGGGAGCCGTGAAGGGGCAGTCGGGGCACTTGAAGCCGCTGGGCCCGGTGTGGGCCCGCTTGTGGCTCTCCATCTCCGCCCGGCCCGCAAAGGAGGCGCTGCAGATCTTGCAGGAGAACTTCTTGGCCGGGGGGGCCTGGCCCGGCGGGGGCCTCCTGCCCGGGGGGGGCTGCTCTGCCGGGACCAGGGAGATCCCGCCGGCCTCCGGCTGCTCCTGGGCCTGCCAGGCCAGGCAGCGCACCACCGGCCACTGGGCGCTCGGCAGGGGATCCCCATTGGCCTGCGGGGGTGGGGAGACTCATCAGGACGACGGAGGAGGAGGGGCCCCAGCCGCCCCCCCAGCCGAGGCTCCTCCTTCCCCTCCGGGGGCTCCCCTGCTCACCTCCCCGGAAGGTGGTGGGGGCTGCTGGGGCCCCTCTAGCACTGCGGGAGCCTCCTCCAGGGAGTCCTGGATGACAGTCTGGGCGGCTGCACCTTCGGGGACCTGCACCACCTCCTGGCTGCCGAGAGAGGGTGGGAGATGGGCACGGGAGGGGGAGGAGGGGGCTCAGCTGAGGGGCTGAAGGGATTCGGGGAGGCCCCGTCTCTGATCTCCCCTCCCCCCGTCTCACCCGTACAGAGTGCCGGCAACCTCCCCGCTGGCGGAGACCACGCTGTACTCGGGGGCGCTGCAGAAGGGGAGGGTGATGTGCTGGACCTCGGAGGGGCCCGTGGGGGGCTGGACGAGGGGCTCCCTCTGATCCGTGCCCTGGGTGGCCAGCAGGCTGCCCTGCAGCTCCTCCTCCTCCTCCTCCTGGCCCCGGGACTCCAAGGGCGCCTTCACCAGGGCCACCTGTGGGAGGAGCAGGGCCAGGTCAGGCTCAAGGCTCTGCCCCCCCCACCCCACCCCCCAATAGGAGCTGGGAAGCCCCAGCCTCACCTCCAGGGCACTGGCCGGCAGCTCCCGCTGGCCGCTCATGCTCAGCAGGAGGTCCAGGGCGGTTTGCGTGCTCACCTCTGCCGAGCCCTCCCCCTCGGGGGGGGGGGGGGGGAGGGTTGGGGGGGGAGAGAGATATCATAGTTAAGCCTTGCACCCCACAGCCCGGCTTCTGAGCTGCTTCGTGAAGCTGGGGGGGTCTCTCAGCGCACAAGGACTGCGGCCTCCAGCTTCCGTTCTCCCCCCCCCCAAAAGAGGGGAGGGTCTCTCTCTGGCTTCAGGCTGCCTTCCGCACCCGCCCCCCCCCCCCCCGGGGCAGCCTGTAGGGCCAGAGTGGGCTCGTTGCAAGGACTCCCTCCGCCTCCCCAACCTTTCCGTTTGGGTGAGGAACGAAACACCTCGGTTCTCATCGGGCCCGGTTGCCAGGCTCTGCCCCAGAGGCCTCCAAACGGCCCCCCTTTCAGA